AACGTGATTTTTTTCCCAATTAATCTGTCGCCTTTTGAGTTTGAACTCTTCCCGACCCTTCATTGTGTTCTCTTTAGGGATGCTATAGAAACCCTTGGCTGTCTTATGTTATAGAAAGAGCCTATCAGTGCTGGCGTTGGCCTCTTGGAATGATGATTTATCTGCCATCACATGAATGCTCTGATGTGTGACATGGCCTCTGCTCTCCATGGCTTGCCCTGCACCCATTTATCAGCATGAAGCAACTCCCTGAAGCCCCAGCCACCACTAATGGCATGGGCAGCAGAGGGCTCAGTTCCAATGTCCCTTCAAGCTCTTCCACCCAGAACGGAATTTCAATCATGTCAGGAGTGTCTGACCCAACACAGATCTCCCAAGCTCATCAGAACCCAAGGGGAACTGGAAGCTCTGGCAGGAAGGAGACTTTTAGGATATTTAAAGCAACTTCCAGCTGGTATTTGAAGGCCTGCCAAGTGGTTGTCGGCCTGTTTGAACTTCTGTGACAGGGAACTCACTGCCCTCCAGGCACTTCAGTCATCTCTAGACAGCACTTTTGTTCTGGAGCTCTTGATGCCCCAGTCTGCTGAGAAGGAACTGGCATATACGTAGGGAGAAGCCCCCTCCCTGGCTCTGGGGTAAGAATTCGCCTTCCTGCCCTGAGAACAACAGAGCATCCCATCTGTTCCCAAGTTATGCCTCATCAAGAGGCCCCAAAGGTTTTGGAGTTACTCTGTACCCAGCTGGCTACCCTTACCGTGGTCCAATTACTACCCACTCCCCTCCCCAGTGGGAACCACGTTTCCCTCATAATCCTAACAGCTGGACCCCCGGGGTGTCAGCAGACCATAAGCAGCCCAGGGTCTCTGCCCTACTTCAAGCCCTCATCACCTCTTGTCTTGACCATTACAGTCACCCTGGACTCACCTCTCTGTCTCTAGGCGCCTTGCCTCCTCTCTCCATGCAGCTGTCAAAACAACCTTCTAAAATGCCAATCTGACAATGGTATCATGCTCAGCATCAGGGCATCCCTCTTCTGTGAAATCAAGCCCATCTTACTGCCGAGCCTCGGGGTCTCTCTGGTTCTCCAGGTTAGTCCACCCCTGGCTGCTTCCCCGACTCCATCTCAGGAAGGACCCCACCATCCCAGCATTACCCAAGGCTGGGATTCTTCCTCATCTCCTCCTTCACCCCTCACCCATATCCACTCTGAGAGCAAGTCCCACCCATTCTACCTACAAAATATATATTTAGCCACTTACCCCCACTCTCCCACCTCCCTGGTCCAAGCCACCATCATCTCTCACCTGGGTGACAACAGTAGTCTCCTAACTGGCCTTCCTACTTCCACTTTTGCTCCCATCTAATTCATTCTCTACATAACAGTGAAAATAAACTTTAAAAGTATAATTCAAATTATGTCATTTCACTGTAAACATTTGAATGGCTTCTTATTGGTCTTAGAATAAAATCTGGACCAAAGCCCTGTATGACCTTGCTTTGCCCACATATCTGACCACCTCTCATACTATTTTCTACAGTCATTGTGCATCTGTCTCTACCAACCACAGGCCCTTTGCACTTCCTGCTCCCCCAGCGTGGAACACCCTTTCTGTGGCTCTATAATCTGCTCCTCATCCTTTAGGTCTCAGCTGAAACATCACCACCTGTGGAATGCTTGCTGTGGCCTGTTTTTCTCTATTACACCACCTTGTTTAGTTCATTTTAGCACTACTCACAATCTGTAACTAATTAGTGTACTTGACTCCTTGTTTATTGTCTAACTCGCTCAATAGAAAGAAAGGTCCATGGAGGCAAGGACCTCTCTCTTTCATTATATCCACTGGATTAACCACATCGAACACAGTTCATACCATGTGGTAGGTCCTCTATAAATTTTGTCCACTGGATGCTAAATGAATCCAGCCCCTGCTGCTTCTTCAATCTTTCTCCTCTGCCACTCCTCACCATGACACCCACATTCCAGCCATGCTGATTGGAATTCCCTGAAGATGCACACTGTTTTCCACCTCTGTGCCTTTGCACATGCCCCTGGGCTGGGATTCTTGATCTACTATGTCTAACTAGAAAACTCCTCTGATTGAAATATCATCTCTTCTCCACAGCCTTTCCAGCCTCACAAAGCAAAGTTAGTCCCCCAGACCTCCATGGCCACAGTATGGTGCCCGTGGCTCTATTCTTGCTCTTGGAAACTTGGTTATAATGATTCGTTTTCCTATCTCTGTCCTCTGTAAACTCTGATATCCCTGAGGAAATAGAGCATGTCTCCATCTCCCCAACCTTCATGCACAATCAAGTCTAGAACCTGGAATATATTAGTTGCTCAACAAACATTTGTTGAAAAGATGACTGAATGAAGTGGAAGAGCAGTCCCTGCATGTAAATTCAACAGGCCAGGTTACTAATCTCAGCCCCCTGGTAATTGGGTAACTCATAATGCCACTTTGTGTCTCAGTTTCTTCACCTGTAAATTGGGAATAATAAATCATTACCTATCTAAGGTTAGTTTAAGAATAAAATAAAATAGTAAATACAAAAAACGTTTGAAAAATATAAACTCATTCATTTCAAAAATACTTGAGTCCTTCCTTAGTGCTAAGGCACTCAAGTTACAAATATGGAGACATGATCTTTTAAAGGGTTTTACTTCTTCAAGATGGCATTAGCCACCCACCATTAAGACACGTCTACCTCCTACTGACTTGGTTCTTGGTCTGCTGCATCTTTGCGTGAACCCTTTGGTTCTGGATTCACTACCTACCTGTATAGTCTCGTTTTACTGAAGGTCTCTGCATGCTTTTCAGCTATAATCATGGCTGAGAAATTCCCTTACCAATCCTGGTTCCACTTCAGGAAAACTGTCAGCAGTACACACAGCACCAGGCCCATCCATCTGTGTAAGAGATAATGCAATTCTAAGACAATATTTAACATTGTGAGATGAGGCATAAACTCAATATGTTTTCAGGCAGAATAGAAAAAAATATGTGCCTCATCTCATTAATCACAATAAGAATGAGGGATGGGGCAGGTACCCAGGCTGGTGCTCTTCCCTTCAAGTTAATCTGTCTTAATACTAGGCCCTTGATAAAAAGAATGCCCGTGCCGTTGTTCTGCTTTGCTCAATGGCAATTTACATTGGTGGAGCACAAGATTTATGGAGTAACAAGAACCTCTCAGTGATAAAAAACTTGAGCGATCCGTGCTGTGTTTGGAGGTAACCTACTGCAAACACTCTCTGGGGTGAAACTTCAAGAGAAGGATTTCAAGGTAGGTATTTATAAAACTGATCTATTCACAAGTGCCTATTGGGTTCATTCATTCACTCAATGAACAAATTTCTACTGGGCACTGACTCTTGCAAGAGGCTCTGTTAGGGGTTTGAAGCTGCCAAAGAAACCAGATATGCTCTGTACCCTGGAGGGACCCGCATTTGGGGATATGCAACTCATACACAGTAATGAGGGCGCCACAGGGACTGCAAGCTCTGCTGTACACCAGTGCCTGTCACGGAGCCTGGCATGGAAAAGCTCATTAAAAATCTGTTAATGACAAGTGCCCATCAACAGATGAATGGATAAAATGTGGTACATGTGTGCAACGGAATATTATTCAGCCTTAAAAAGGGAAGGAAATTCTGACACATGCTACAACCTAGACAAACCTCGAGGACATTATGCTCAGTGAAATAAGCCAGTCACAAAAGCACAAATACTATGAGTCCACTTATATGAGAACCCTAGGGAGGTAAGGTTCATGGAGAGAGAAAGCAGAATGATGGTTGTCAGAGGCTGGAGGTAGGAGGGAATGGCGAGTTATTGTTTAACGGGTGCAGAGTTTTGGTTTTGCAAGATGAAAAATGTTCTGGAGACAGATGGTGGTGATGGTTGTAGACCAGAGTGAATGTACTTAATGGCAGTGAACTGTACACTAAAAAATGGTTAAGATGCTAAATTTTATGTTGTGTATAGTTTAACCACCACAACAACAAATTTTAAAGGTCTATCGGGATGTCTAGAGAGAGCTTGAGGCCAGAGATGCAATGGAGTGTTCCACAGAGAAGGGATCACTGGGAGGATATGGGCTTTCCCTGGGAGGTAGGAAGAAGAGGGCCTAGAATTGTGCCAAGGCCACACTCCAGCGGGTCAAGGAAGGGAAGTGTGGTCAGAACTTGCAGGAGCAGTGGGCCAGTTAGGGACGTGGAAATGAAGGATCAGAGAGTTCCAAGGAGATCGTTTTAGAGCATGACAGACGTTGACCAAAGCCTTTGCATTTGACAAGTAAGAGGTAACAGGCAACCCCTAGGAGAGCTTCTTCAGAGAGTGTGTTGGCAGTCAGGCTGCAAAAGGTTAAATACCAAGCGAATGGAGAATAAGACATTGAAGTTTGATAGTAAAGGAAGGAGAATGATGGCAGAAACTTGAAGGAATCAGTGGACAGGGGAGAAGAAAGATTTAGCAAGGGACACAGGGATTGAAAGAAAAGGAGAGATGTTCTGGAAGGATCTGGAATGGTTGGGAAGGATGCTTTGGGGGATTCCTTCTCCCTTTGAAACAAGAAGGCAGGATAAGGAGATGGAGGAGGTATCAGGAAGAAATAAGGCGGAGAACAGGGAGCTGAAGGGCTCCTGTCTCCTCAGGGAAGTGGGAAGCAAGACCGAGTGCTGACAGTGAGAAGACGCGAATGTGCCAGAGAAGAGTTGAGAGTTTGGAAACGGTGTTGTAGGGAATGTGGACCGGCATGGATTCAGCTGAGATCAGAGCCCCTGCGCGTGTGGGAAGCCCAACAATGCTCAGCTGCTGGTGGCCTGAAGGAAGAGAGCACATGGAACATTTCCCAGAGAGACAAGCTTCCCAGGATGGGCAAGGGCATGGGTAAATCCCACCTCCACGAGGCCTGGGCTGGATGGCAAGGAAATCAGGATCCAAAGGAGCTAGGAAGGTGTGAAGTCAGGGACTAGGGTTCATGATGAGGGTGAGGAGATGGTTCCGGAAGAAAGAGAAGGAACTTTGGAACCTGAAGGCCTGGTCGAGCAGCTGTGTGGGATGGCAGCGTCCAGGTGAGTGGTGCTGACAGGGAGTGGACACCATCCAGGTACAGGAACTGTGAGGTCCACATATTTGTGGGATGTTGAAATGTCCCCAGAGATGGTGACAGGGTGATGAGGTGGGAACAAATGTTAGATGAATGAGAAAACCAACCACCAGGGAGGGAAGATGGTGTGAAGAAGAAAGTTTACTTGGCTGGCTAGGACAGGAAGGGGAAGAGCTTGTTGAAAGACAGAGGTGCCACTGTGGGGGGATGGGAGCTGAGGGTACCACAAGACCCAGTCAGTCAGGAAGAAACGGGCTGGGGGCAGGAATCAACTTCCACTGAGGAAGGTTCACTGTGGGAGAAGCGGAGGCCACCCATGAAGAAAGGAGGGCTGGAAGGAGAAGGTGCTGGAGTTTGGAATTTATAGCTTGAGCAATAATTGTGAACAAGCTGGATGAGGAGTCAGGCTAGAGGGATTAGCAGGACGGGAGGGGGTTCCAGACGGAGGCCTCAGGGAGATGTGGTGAGAAAGCGTCCGTGAAACTAGTGAGCCCTCAGCCTGCTGGAGAGGACCCCTGGGAAGGAGGTCAAGGGCAGTACTCAGTGGGTGGATTCTCGAGTGCAGCAAAGCTGGGCTGACAAGCATGTGTCTTGGGACTGGAGGACTCCTATGTGCAAGCGTGCCAGCCAGGACACCAGGGTTCTCATTCCAGCTGCCACCAGCCAGCTTTATGAACCTAAGTAATAAGCCTTTTTCTTTTTCTTTTTTTTTTTTTTTTTGAGGGTGAGGGGAGCTACTCTGAGTCTTGGACTCCTTTTCTGAAAAATGGGAGTGTTTAGAATAGGTGATCTTTCAGCTTCAAGATGCTGTGATGCTGTGAATCTGTTCCTTGGTGTCTTCATGCCACCACTTCTGCCTGTGTTCCATTATGATGATCCAAGTCCGCCCTGTCTCCATTGGTGGGAAGGATAGACGCTCATTAGAAAAAAGTAGAAGCCCTTGGCTGAGGAAGAATGTCATTACATACTTAATCCGGGCAGCTGCGAGCACAAACATCTCCTTCTTCCAAATCAGATACAGCCCTCCGGCTCTCGGGAGACAAATGAGCAAAAGGCTGAGGCTCGGCACGTGGAGCCGGGCCGGATCGGGGACCCCTCCTCCCCTCAGCAGGATGCTTCGGCACAGGCCCCAACTGGGCCTGTTTTTGGTTCTTGTGACAACAGAAGTGTCATTGAGGGCACGTGAGCACTCCCATTTTACAGACGAGGAAACCAGAAACCAGAAAGCTGCAGTAACTTCCCCCGCATCTTGTACGCCCTCCACACACACACTCCAATTCTCTGGATCCTGCTTTGGATTCCTGAAAAGTGTCACATTTCAAAGCTCCTCTGTATTTTTGCGTATTTTATATCAATGAGTATTTCCTTGCCTAAATAGCTTAACACTTCATGGATACCTCCTCCTCCACAACCCCCTCAACCCAGTCACCATGCCTCCCATTCCACTTTCCAAACCATATTTGGACATTAATCCCATCACCCACAGTCAAAATGCCATCTAATCTGGAAGGAATACAGTTGCAATATTAGGAGAGCAGAGAATAAATACTGAAACCCATAACACTTTGTCATCCTCTTAGCTCCTGTATGCACTTACTGAAATGCATTTGGCCAAATGAGAAGAGGGGGAAAGAGAAATGAATGCTAACGAAATTAATAGCAATGGCATAAAGAAATTGTATTTTGACTTATACTATTATTACTTATTATAAGTGATACTATTATAAAGATCTCAGGCGCTTTCAGTTAGTTCTGTGTTTCTTGGACTTAAGAAGAGAGAAAAAATTTAAACTTACTTTCTGGACCAGGAGAGTAATAATCATTTTATGACTATGTATATTCATTTTCTTAGCCTCAGATGAAAAAGGTGACCAGGGACTAGTTATAACAAATGTTCATGTTTTATTTGTCAGGGCACCCTACATGACCAAAACAATATGGTTTATGGAGTTCCCATGAGAGCAGAGTATTGAACCTAAATGGAAGAAAAAGATTCTGTCTTCAAGGGATTTGCCTTCTCGGTGGGAATATAGGGCCTAGCCACATAAAAGAGTTATAATCAGTTTTACAAAGACTTGCAAGTCACCACCAAGTGCTGATTGGTAGTGAGCAACAGAGCGTGGGTCTGTGTGGAGCTGACAGAGGAGAAAAGGGCCCTGAATGATCTGAGGTTGGTGAGGACATGCATAGAGCTGGGAGACCAGGTCACTCTGGGTTACAAGCACAGTGTTTGACATAGACCAAGGCTTTGTTCATATTCAGTCAATGTTTGAGGCAGAGCATATGTTGGTGGAGAGACGGGCACCAGGTATTGCCAATAGAGGGAATGGTATGCCAAGCTGTAGACAACATCCCCAGAGCTCTGGTAGAAGTTTTGTGTTCTCCTCTAACAACAGTCATCATCATATTCCAGGCCCTGTAGGTTCATCATCCTGAGATCCTTACAACTACCCTCTCACGCAGTAATGGCAAATGGGCATCAGCCAACCCCAATTGGCTGTTAGTAGTTGCTTGGGGCATCATGTGGGTGGCATCCAGGCTTGGTGAGAAAGGGAGTCCTGATGGGCTGTGGGATCTGCCATGGGCAGAGAGTGATGTGGTACCCACAAATGTATTTGCCATCTCTATTCTAAGAGATGCCCACTGATTAGATTAGGAGACCAGGGTTAAGTTAAAGAACGTTCATAAACTCATATAGTTGCATATTAGGAAAATGAATCCCTTTTTCAAGACATTTTCCTTTCATCTGTTGTAAAATTGTCATAATATAACGACTTTAACAGAGCAAGCCACTCTACTACCACCTCCTGGAAAGTTGTCCCTAAAAAGAAATAAAGATCTATAGCATCTGTGATGTGAATGCCTTAGATGTGGCATCCTTGTGCAGGACACAGCCTGCACAGCTATACATTGATGACCCTGAACCAGGATTTGAAACGAGATGATCTATAGTGGTTCCACTACCCCACACTGCCTTAAGGAAAAAGTGAGGCAGTTGTAGAGGAAAGGCAGTAAGGTTTTAGAGGGCCTTAAAATTTTACCTAAAGAGCTTGGATCTGATGTAATAGGTAAGGTGAAAAGGGCTGTTTATATGCATATGCTCTCCTTAAATCAGATGTTTATAGGTTGAGTACCTATAAAGTTTCGCATTTTGCGAAGCATGTTACTTTTTTTGTTTTGTTTTGTTTGTTTTCTGTGGTACGCGGGCCTCTCACTGTTGTGGCCTCTCCCGTCGCGGAGCACAGGCTCCGGACGCGCAGGCTCAGTGGCCATGGCTCACGGGCACAGCCGCTCCGCGGCATGTGGGATCTTCCCGGACTAGGGCACGAACCTGTGTCCCCTGCATCGGCAGGTGGACTCTCAACCACTGTGCCACCAGGGAAGCCCATTACACTTTTTAAAATGCTTCAGATAGGTTATTTCGTTTGATCCCTACATGTGAAACTACAGTAGATTCCTGAACAAGGAATCATCATCAGTGTGGGGGAACTGGGGCATGAATCTCAGAGCAGAAGTTATATAAAGCTTCCCTCTTTTAAAAAAGGCATGCGAGGTTGTACTCCTTTCCTCAACTAGGTTTGAATTCTCTTAACTGAAACTGAAACGTGCATTTCATTATCTGATTCATCAGCATCTCGAGTAGACTTGCTAAATCATAGCTCCAGTCACGGGATGTGCCAGAATAATTAATTACACTGTGAATCCTCCTGACAGCATTTTCCAGGGACTGAGGGGGGAAAAAAAACAAAAGACTAAACATAAGAAAACAGGAAAATCTGGGTCAACTTTCTATATATTCATCCTGGCTTCTTCCATTTGAGTCCTGGCTTTCTGTAATTGAGTGACCTTGAGCAAGTCACCTCCTGAGTTTCCTCCCCTAATAAAAATGAGAAGGTGGGAATAGATTATCATTCAAGGTGGCAGAAGGGAAAGAGATGATATATTCAATTAGATAATTTGAGGTGCATTTAAGAGAGAAGATTCTTTATAAAAGTGTGGGCAGGGTAAGGGAACCACCAGGGATAGAGCAGTAGCCCAGGGCCAGTAACCACAGGCCGTTACTGCCCCAGTCCTGAAGGGAAAGTGGAGCACAATTACCAGAATCCAGAGGGAGAGAGCTGTGGAGAGAAGGCTGCCTTGAGAAGGGCAGTGACCTTTACTGAGGGACAGACTGGCATGCCGCAGCAAAGGAAGTAGAGAAGTAGATTCCAATGCTACTCTCCTTCCTCCCTCTAATCTACAGTGATGCTCCCCATTGGCCAAACCCAACTAGAAGACAGAAAGCAAAGGAGCTGGGGATGTACTCCATGCAGCTCAGCCTCCTGCAGCAAAAAACAGGGAGAAGGGCAGAGAGGGAATCAGGGGTTGGGCAGGAGATGCCCAGCACACTCCCTGAGTTCATCCAATATGAACATACTCGGTGTACATCAAACACCCTATCCTCTTAAAGCATGCCAAATGGAAACATGTTAGAATTTTTTTTTTTTTTTTTGAGTAGAGAATGTGCTGGCAACTTAGGGGAACATGGCATAAAGCATGGAGTCTGCCATGGTAGGTGAGCAGAATACATTTACAGAATGAACAAATACATGAAAGAAAGGAAATAGCCCCAACTGAGGTCTAACAGCAAAGAACTATGACTCGCTACACATACACACACACATGCACACGCACAGACCATCTCTAAAGTAAACTTCAAACTTCTCACAGTAACATGGAATTTACTAGGCAGTGAGTCAATTCTGAGATTCCAGCCTTGAGGCAGAATCACTGAGGCACCCAAAAGGTCCATTGTTATGCTGTGTCACAAGCCTGGGCAGACCTGGAATCCCGTGATTTTAAGTCTGGGAAGGACTTGAGGAAGCAGCTACTTCAACCTGCCCCTTTCTGTTGCAGGGTGGGTTCCATGAGCTGCAGAAGGGCCTGTCAGATACCCACCTGGACGGTGCAGAACCTGTGTGGGAG